AACCTCGGTAAGATATTAATCTTGGTCTCTACGAGACAAAAACTTTTTAATAAAGCCATTAAAACCATACAATGAAGGCAAACAATCTTGAGATTAATGGAAAGGTAGACATTCTCAGCAGAAATAAACCTCATAAAGGAAGAGCCAAGTGAAAAATGTTAAGCTGACAAGTAAGATCTGCTGAAACCAAAAGCTAATTTGAAGATTTCAATAGCAGAAATGAGAGGAGAGAGGAGAATCAGTATACCTAAAAATAGATCAAAAGAAATTATCCAGCCTAATCAGGAAAAATAAGAGTTATAAAATGAACAGAGCCTCAGAGATCGAGGACACAATATAAAATGGTCTAACACATGTGTCATTGGAATTCTGGAAGAGGAGATAGAGATCAATGCAGAAAGCAGTATTTGAACAAACAATGGCTGAAAAACTTTGAAATGCAGCAAGACAGACAGATTTAAAGATTTAAAAAACTCAGTGAAGGAGATTCCCCGGTGGCTTAGTTGAAAGGAGTCCGCCTGCCAGTGCAGGAGACATGGGTTCGATTCCTGATCTGGGAAGATCCCACATGCTTTGGAGCAACTAAAGCTGTGTGCCACAACTATTGAGCCTATGCTCTAGAGCCCACAGGCCACAGCTACTGAGCCCATATGCCACGACCACTGACGTCCACATGCCCGAGAGCCTGTGTTCCACAAGAGAAAGCTTGCATGCAGCAACAAAGACCCAGTTCAGACGCTTAAAAAGCTGTTGCCGTTCAGTCACTCAGTCAGTCATGTCCGACTCTTTCTGAACCCATGGACTACAGCACAAGAGGCTTCCCTGTCCTTCACCAGCTCCTGGAGTTTGCTCAAATTTAGTTCCACTCAGTCGGTGACACCGTCCAACCATCACATCCTCTGTCGTCCCCTTCACCTCCAACCTTCAGTATTTCCCAGTATCAGGGTCTTTTCTAATGAGTCAGTTCTTCGCATCAGGTGCTGAAAGTATTATTAAAAAGTAACTGATTAATAAAAAAGAAAGAAACCTCAAAAGCTGCCAGAAAACCACAAAGCATTCATTCTATACAGGGGAACAATTATTCAAATGACTGAAGATTTCCCATCAGAAACCTTGAGGACAGAAGACAGCAGAACTGCTAGTTTAAAGTGCTAAAAGGGAACAAAGGTCAACCCAGATTCTACATCCAGCAAAACATCCTCAGTAAAGAAGATGTAATAGAGACTCTCAAATAGAGGAAAACTGAATGGACTCACAGCCAGCTCTAAAAGAGATGCTAAAGGAAGTTCTTCACAGGGAAGAGAAATGAAACCACAGAGAAACTAATTATCCAGATGAATAGAAAAGGTTGTTTTCGCCTCTTAAATTCTTTAAAATATATATGACTACTGAAAGCAACATTGTTAGTGGGATTTTCCATGATTATAGATTTAATACATGATAATTATATCATAAAGTAAAGAGGGTAAAGAGGATTCTGTGGTTGTGAGTTTTCTTCATGTCACTTGAAATGGTAAAATATTAATTTTAATTATGTTTAAAAAGTTAAATACATATAATATAATCCCTAGAGAGACCACCTAAAAACTACCCAAGTTCTCTTTAATAAACAGTGCTGGGAGAACTGGATACCTACATGCAAAAGAATGAAGTTTTTGTCTCGGGTAATGGAAAGCTTGTAAATAGATAGTGGTGATGGTTGTACAACATTGTGAGTGTAAGAATGCCACTGAATTGCACACTAAAATGGTTAAATGAGAAAATGTTATTTTATGTATATTTTACCAAAGTTGCTAAAATTAATGATGTAACAAGCCAAGAGCATTGAATTTTACCCATTAAAGAGTGAACTATATGGTGTGTGGATTACAGCTCAATAAGGCTGTTTTTTTTTAATGGGACCAACTTGGTATACTGGAAAATGCAGAGACATACTATTAAAAATAACTCTTGGATCAAAGAGAAATTTAAAGGGACTTAACAAACTACTTAGGAAGCAACAAGAGGACAACACATCACCAAAACCTTGGATACAATGAGAGCTATGAAGAAAGTGTCTTGTCTTAGTGACATTATTATTTAAGAAGAAAAATAAAAATTGAGTAGAGGAGAAATAAAGTGTGGGGACTTGGCATAGCCTCTTATGAGTCCCTCCAAACCTAGACCACTTTCCTACCAGACACAGAAAAGTGTGGGGCCCCTATGAACATGCTCCATGTATTTTTTAATGATTGGTTTTTAACTATTATTTTGAAAAAGAAAAAGTGAAAGATTGAAAGGAGGTCTATTAAGACTCAATTGTTCCAGTACCATTTCTTTAAAAGATTATTCTTTCTTCACTGACTGAATTGCCTTTGCATCTGTGTTGGAAATTAATTGCCTATAGATGTGTGGGTCTCTTTCTGTGCCCTCTATTCTATCAGTTCTATTCTACTGATCTATTTGTCTTCCTTGATGCCAATATGTAGTCTAAGTCCTCCAGATTTGTTCTTCACTTGTAAAACATTTTGGCTATTTAGGGATTCTGAATTTCCATAAAATTTTAGAGTTGGCTTGTTAATTTCAAAAAATAATAATAATAATAATAATAAAATAAAATAAAATAAATAATAATAAAATAAAATAAAAAACCCACAAAAAACAAAACCCAACCCTGCTAGGAGTTTGATTGAAATTGTTGTAAATCTACATACTATTAGGGGAGAATGGACATTTTACCATTATGGAGTCCTGTCATGGATGAAATCCTCATTTATTCATCTTGTTTAATTTTTTTCAGCATATTTTATAGTTTTCCCTGTCCAGGTCTTGCACATCTTGCATAGTATTTATTCCTCAGTATTTCATATTGTTGATACTATTGTGAATGGCATTGTTTTCATTTTAATTTCAAATTTTTGTTATTAGTATATAGAAATACAATTGATTTTGTATATTGATTTTGTATCCTGCAAACTTGCTTTATCACTCAAGGTTCTAGTAGCTCTCTTGTCAATTCACTGACCATATACATAAACAATCAAGTCATCTGTGAACAAAGACTGATTTTACTATGTCCTTCCTGGTAGAATGCCTTTGGTCTCAACTGTTGGATCACAGCATGTTAATTTATGGAGGTGACTGAGTGATGATTCACAGAGATTAAGGTCATTGAAAGATATTTATTACTTATATTTTCCAAGGGGGGGGGCATACAGGGCCACATTATGAAGCAACTGTGTTATTCAAAAGGTGAAAAAGAGCCAGGGGAAAAGTACAGACCACCTTCTTTATTGTATTTTCTGCAGGAAGAGCAGGACGGGACACAGAGGCAGTTTCGGATTACCTAGTTTGAATAACTCTGGTGGGCTGTGGGCTACAGGTGCTGTCCTAGTTGGCTGGTCCTGGCCCTGTGCTGACTCAGGGCAGTGGACATACTGGGTTGATGTGTGAGAATCAGATAACGGAGGAGGTTTAAAGCAGAGCCCTGGGTTGGTTGGTGTGCATATGAAAGACCCACTCCCAGGAGAGCTCTGCTATCTCTAAGAACTGGTTAGTCCTGGGTGGGGCAGTCTCTCCAAGTCAGGTAGGCCACAAGTGACCAAATACCAGGACTATAAAAAATAAGAAAATAGAGTTAGTACTATTGGTCCCATGATGAATGGATGCCAAACAGATAAATACAGAATCTAAGAAAATATACTTAGAACTGTTTGATTTCTTTTTCTTGCCTTATGGCATGAACTAGAACCTTCCAGAACAATGAATGGAGGTAGTGAGAACAGGTGTCTTTTTCTGCTCCCCAACCTTGGTGGGGGGGGGGCGGAGGGGGGAAACAGGAGGTGCCATGGAGGGGAAGGGGTGGGGCAGTGATGGACATGGTCAATGGGGAAAGGAGGATGGAAGCTTGGGAGAGAGTGAGAAGACCTGAGGCAGTGGGTCTCGAGCTCTGGTCCACGGCTCGTAGCCCTCACCTGTCCCTGCTGAGGATCACACAGCTTCTGGCCTCTCAGGGCCACCCGCTGGGCTAAAGGGCTGCATTTAGGCTCTGCCCATCCTTGAATCTCGAACTCCAGGCCCCCCCTCCTCCCACAAAACTCCTCTCTCAGTAGAGCCAGGCTGAGAGAGGACCAGGCTCTCAGGCCTGACTCTCAGGCCTTGACTCTCAGGCCCTCCTATACCTGTTGGGGGAAGTAAGGATGAACGAACCTGGAGGCCATATGCCATCCCTGAGCCAAAACCACACCTCACAAATCCTAGCTTCATGGGGATCCAACTCCACCCCAGGCCTGAGGATGACATGAAATATGCAATCTGCATCTAGGGACACTTTCTGCAGAAGCAGCCGGGCCTGAGGGCACCTGGAAAGCAGGTCATCTGCAAAGGTTACCCAGGACCTGTTTGTAAAAGCTCCGTGCTGGGGAATTCTCTGATAGCCCAGTGGTTAGGACTCCATGCTTCCACTGCAGAGGGCACAGGTATGATCCCCGATCAAGGAACTAAGGTCTGTGCGAGACAGGGCCAAAAACAAAAAGAGACCAATCTGAAAACAGAGTGGATATATGTATATGTATAACCGATGCACTTTTCTGTACAGCAAAAATTAACACAACAATGTAAAACAACCGTACTCTTGAAAATTCTTAATTTTAAATGCTGTCGAACAGAATAGGCACTGGCGCCCCCTGGTGGTCTCCAGTCCCCGCCTTTGAAGGTCAGGCAAGCGGAGAAATTCCAGGTCCCAAACCAAGTTGGGTGAAGCGGGAATGGAACTCAGGTGTCACTCCACACACAGGACAAATCACCCTNCTCCCCCCTGCTCCTCCCTGAGGGGCTGCAGCGGGGCGGGGACCCGGGCCCACCTCTCCCTGAAGGAGCCTGAGCTGCTGGTCCTGCTGCCGCCCCTTCCCCTGGGAGGACAGACACTCAGAGAAGCAGAGACCAGCAGAGACAGAGACGGCTTCCCAGGGAGATGTGAGGCGGGAGACAGGAGCTGAGGGGGGAGGCCCAGCGGGCGCAGGTCAGGACCAGCCCCCAGCGTGAAGACGGGGGCGGGGAGCCCCAGACCATGGCTCCCTCTGCACTGACCACAGGGAAGCCCTTTTGCAATAAAGGAAAAGAAGAAGCCAGGTTGATAAAGGAAGTGCCCGTCACTGTCGGGGTGGGCGGGTTTGGGGAAGGCCCCCACCCTCCTCCGTCCTCTGGAGGAGCCTGGTCCTCACTCCTGGTGCTGAGTCTCCCCCAGGGCCCCCAAAGGCCTCCCGCCTGGCCTTGAGGGCTCTGCCTGTCCTCTCACCCGGGAGGGGGGCAAGGCCATGGGGCTGCCCCTGCTGCTCCTGGTGTCTCTGCAGGCTGGTGAGTGGCTGGGCGTATCCTGCTCTGCCAGGGACCCCGGGGAGGGGCTGTGGCTGGGTGTGTGTAGAAGGGCCCCCTAGGGTTGTTGGCCAGGCCTCCCACCCCCAACAAACAGAAGGGGTCCCACAGTGCGGGGTCTCCCAACCCCTCACCCTCCAGCCTGCCCCAAGCCTGGAGAGATGATCACCCAGGCCAGAGGGCCAGTCCTACCCCCCGTCACACATCCCCCTGCGGGTGAGGGTGCCCGACGGTCTGGGGTCACCCTCTGTGTCTCTCCTGGTGGCTTCAGAGTCTCTCCCTCCCTCCTCTAGGTCACTGGGCACAGACAAATCCAGAACCTCTCTTTGGGATGAAGCAACCAACGCATCTCTCAGCCCCCAAGGGCGGCTCCATTCACATCCCCTTCTCCTTCCTTCACTCCTGGGCATTAGCCAAGGATCCCAACGTGAGAATATCCTGGAGATGGAAACACTTCCATGGGGAGTTCATCTACAACATGACCCCTCAATTAATCCATGAGAATTTCAAGAACCGGCTCTTCCTGAACTGGACAGAGCGTGAGAAGACCGGCTCCCTCCGGATCTCAAACCTGAGGAGGGAGGACCAGTCTGTGTACTTCTGCCGGGTGGAGCTGGTCACACTGACACACGGCAAGCAGCAGTGGCAGTCCATCGAGGGGACCAAACTCACAGTCACCCCTGGTGAGTCCAGCTGTCCCTGAGGCTCTTGGAAGCTGTTGGTACCTTGTAATGCAGGCCTGGTCTAGGGCCCCACCTCCTGACTTTCCTCAAACTCCTCTCCCTTCCCCTCCTACTCCTCCCCAGGCCTCTACCAACTTTACCTTAATCTTCCCCAGCTCTGGGCTGCCTCCCTTGCCCCTCCCCCATCCCCAGGCCCCCGAACCCTGTGTGCTCCCAGCTGTCCTCCCTTCCCGCTCCAAGCTGGGCTCCAGCCAGCCCCTGCCCACGCCCCACGTCCTCCAGGTGACTTGACATCTCGGGGTGCAGCTCCTGCCCTTTGCCCTGAGTCCTGTGTGGAGCCCCAGCTACCCCATGTCTGTCCCCCAATAGCCATGAGCTCAGCCCGCACACACAGCAGGTGCCGAGGGGTCCCGTGTCCTCATCACCTGATTTCCCATCTCCCCTTCCTTCTCTGCTGTGCCCCCCAGAGTATGAGTCTCCAGACCCCCACCTCCATCCTTCTGACCCCAGCTTAACCCCAGGGCCTCCCTTCTTAACCAGGAGCTGCTTGGCCTCACCTCCTGACCTGTCATCTTGCTGTCTTGACTATTTTTAACCTAACAATGGATGTGTAGCATCTGTCACTCAGTGGGGCGTTGGAACTTGAACCTCAGTATGTCTGTCTCCAGAGCAGGCGGGAGGAGGCCTCTCTGACAGGCATGGTCAATAAGAGAGCTGTTATCTGTAATTTTTTTTGAAAAGTAGTAGTTGTCTAAGACATTTGCTCTTTATGATCTCTTCTGGTGAGTCTGAACAGTGTCAGTGATCATTTTGCTTCTGGGCAGAAAGCAAAAGTGTGTCTTCCACTTTGGGAGACCTCTGCCTTTTTTCGACCACTATGCTGATTTTAGAGCAAATAGATAGTGACTTCCAACCTGAATTTAGCAAGATAGCCTTGGATTAACACTTCCTCTTTCGTATTCCTATAAATGGCCTTTGGAGCAAGTTTTTGGCTCTACTTAGGTCCCCGTTCTTCCTTTCCTAATTCCCAGTTTCCTCTCTACTCTTTAGTTTCATTATTAATGTGCATCATTATCATTTTTTTTGCATCATTATCTTTTAAATCTTTGTTTTTTAATCATTTTCATTCTAAAAGTAAATCATAAATTCAGCCCAAGATGGTGGGTTTATGCACATGTTTACTTCCACTTCTTCCCAAAATCTACTAAAACGATAGCAAAGAGAATTTTTAAGCACAAATACACAAAAGGACAAAATATATGAAAGCTACATGGCAAAAACAAATTTGAGGAAGCTGGAAACAAATGAATGTAACCGGTCAAGAGACCAGAAGAACTAAACCCTAAGCCAGTAGTGGGGACACTCAGAAGGAATGAGGTTTACACTGCAAACCCCTTAAAGGGTCAGGAATGCAATTTCTAACACCCCGGAAAGTGGGAGTAGAAGAGATTCTAAAAACTGTAAAACTAGTTAAAAATCTATTTAAGATGCAGGAAAGCCTCCATACCACCATCCTCCACTCTAGCCAGAGTGGAGGTTTGCTTCCCAGAAAGGATAAACCATAGCACCATGGGGTGGGTGGGATGGGTAGGCCCAGGCATAACTCTGGACAAGGGTTCAGTTCTTAAGACTGGATTAGGTCAACTGATGAAACCTTAAACACCTTGATGCCCCACCTAGAGGCATGCCAGGATGCAGCATCCTCCTCCCACCAAGGGCAGAAAATCAGGGACTCTTCAGAATATCTATCTGATGAGCCTAAAAAGATCTAGAAATCTAACTTATCACTCTACAGCCCACTCACTGATCCGCACTGACTGCCTTACCTCACACAGAGCGTCCATCAGCGTGGCTTCCTGCTTGCTGGGAGCCGAGGGGGCAAGGAAAGCGGGCACTCAGCCTTGACAGAATATCCCGCAATGATGATTATGTCCTTGCCTCAGCTGTGCCTGGGATGCCTGAGACTAGACTCGCTCTTCCTACCGAGGGCCCAGGTTCAATCCCTGGTCGGGAAACTAAGATCCCACAAACTGTGTGGCACAGCCAAAAAAATGATTGAACTAAACACTAAGGAGATGCAGACAGCAAAACAATCGCAGGGGGTTGGGGGGTGGGAAGGGGCAGCGGGGAGAAACTGGAAAACCCAAAACAAGGTAGGAGATTAAATTTTTCAAATAACTATCATCCTCAGAAAGTTAAGAGATTTTCTGAACGGGTGATTTACAGAGGAGCTTACAGAACAATAAAGAAGGTCTTAGAAATTAGAGATAGACTGGCGAGTATGGAAAATTCACTAAAAGGACTGAAAGATGAAGTCTGTGAAAATCTCTCAGAAAGTAGAACAAAAAGTCAAAGATCTGAAATAGGGCCCCCCAAAAGCTCTGTCTACATCCTAATCCTCAGAATGTGTAGAATACTACCTTATATGGTTACAGGGATGATTCATAAGACTTTGAGAGGACGTGTTGTCTGAAATTATCTCGGTGAGATACATGCAAACACGAGATGAGGTAGAGAGGGGTTTGGAACTCAGACAGAAGAGAAGGCAGCGTGACCAGGTGACAGAGACTGGAGTGAAACACCTCTAGTGAGAGATGAAAAAGCAAGAACCAGACTCTACCCCTCTCCCACCCCCAAGCCTCCTGAATGAGTGCATCCCGGCTGAGACCTTGGTTTCTAATTTCTGGCCTCCAGATCTGTGAGAAAATGAACTCTTGTCCTTTTAAATCACCCAGTTTGTGGTAATTTGTCCCATCAATCATAGAAAGATAATGTAGAAACCATAAGGAAAAGTCAGAAAAAAGTGAGGGTTGGTCCCAGAGTTCCAACTTCTGAATAATGGGAGTTTCAAAAAGAGATAAAAGAGAAGACCATGGGGAAGAAAATATTAAAGAAATTACTACAGAAATTTTCCAGAATGAAAATGAATTAAATAAAAAGACCTACCTGGAAAACTGCATCATGAAATTTCAAAATATCAGAGATAAAAAGAAGACCCAGAGACTTCCCTGGTGGTCCACTGGTTAAGAATAATCCACCTTCCAATGCAGGGGAGGCAGGTTTGATCCCTAGTGGAGGAACTAAGATCCCACCTGCCATGGAGCAATTAAGCTTGAGCACCGCAACCAGAGAAGCCAAGGAAAGCTTTGACTCCGAGGGCCACGGGAGCGAGGGAGCGTTTCCTGCAGAGGAGTGCCGCGATCAGATTTACATTGTAAAAGTGTCCATCTGGCTGCTGGGTGGAGAATTAGACTACACAGATGACCAAGGCAAAGCGGGGAGACCAGTGAGAGACCGTGTGTCTTGATTAGGGCATTGGCCATGGCAGTGAGAAGTCGCCAGATGCTGGTTATGTTCTGAAGACAGAGCAGACAGTGTGTGCTCTGAGGACGGGAGAAGAGAAAGAGAGAAGCAAGGATGACTCTAAGGCTTCTGACCTGAGCATCTGGAAGGATGGGGTTTCATTACTGAGAAGGCGAGTTGAGGGAAGAACAGGTTTGGGAAGAAATGAAGAACTCTGCATTGAACATCCTAAATTTGAGATTTTACCGAACAAACAAGAGTAAATGCGAGTAAGCGGTGACACACGTGAGTCCATGTGCAGGGGGAGAGTTGGCTGTTGTGTAAGTTGAGGAGTTTTCTGCGTATTGCTGGTGGTTAACACCATAGGGTAGGATGAGATTATCTGAGAAGTGCCTGCAGAGGGAGGAGGTCCCAGGACTGAACCTTGATGGTTACAGGTAGGAAGAAAAGGAGGAATCAACAAAGAAAACTGAGATGGAGCTGCTAGTGAGGCAGGAGAACCAGGAGAGACGGTGTCCCAGATGCCATGTGAAAAACGTGTTTCGTGAAAGGGAGAATATCAAACGCTAAGACGTTAAGAGGAAGGAAAGGGGCTGTAAGAGATCTAAATCCTAGATGTCAGTAGTAGGAAGTGAACAGATACTACTGAAAACAAAATCAAGGAATCATAGTAAACATCTGTGTTTTAGAAATATGAGGTTAGTGCCAAAAATATCAGCGGCTGAAATTAGTCACCTCTGGAGAGTGGGAAGGGAGTGAGAATTAAGCAGAAGGGACTGCTTTTATAATCTGTAGGGAATTTGTTGATTTTAAAAAATCATGTGCCTATAAACTCATATAAAATAAACATTAGACTAGGAAAAAAGAAAATAAACATTAGATTTAAAAAACAGTTAAAAGTACTGGTAATACTTGTACATAATAAAATGATGTCCAAATATAGAAAAGAATCAGATGAACAGCACATTCCTGTCTCTTCATTTTATATCTCAGCCACTACCTCTTTCTGCAGAAATTTCTCTCCACAGATACAGATGTACAGAGATGGAACACAAGAGACTCAAACTGCATACTTTCCTTATCTTCAACTTGCTATGTTTTCTTCATGGACCTCAAGTATCCTTCCACTTCAGCACATGTACATCTATGCCTTTCTTTTTATATGGCTGCATGGTCTCCCACTGTAGCAGTGGACTGTAATTTACTTAATCAGTCTTCTAGTGAAAGACAGTTAGGATGTTGTCACATCTCAAAGCTGCAGGGAACACCCCTAAACACATGTCTTTCAATACCATGACCAGCACTTCCACAGAAAAAATTCCTAGCACAGAAATCACTAGAACAAAGGGCATGCGCAGATATTTCACAGTTTGATTGCTCTCCCCAAATGCATTCCCAAAGGTTTATGCCAACTTATATTTCTATTGTGTTAATATTGGGTATTTTCCTCCACCCAGATCTATTAAAAAAAAAAAAAAACACACTCTGTTTTTTTAATCTGCGTTTCTAAAAAGTTATGAATGGAGATTAGCATCATTTCATGAAATGAGTTAGACTCGCACAATTTTTCATAATTCTCTGTTTTCTGGAAACTTCTGTCTGGGAATTATCTGTTTCTTAAACTTCCACAAGAAACTATAGATAAAAACTCCTGAGCTTGAAATCTTTATGAAAGGTAATTCTCTAATTGTGCTTTCAATTTCTTCTTTGTCTATCCATTAGTTAAAGCTTACTATTTCTTAAAATTCATTCTTTTAAGAATTCATTTGTGTTTGTCTAAGATAATCATCCATTTCAGAGGTTTTTGGTTTACCAGCCTGTAATTGTGTGCACACTCACTCATGATTTCAACAGACTCTTCGCCATTGTTAGCTTTCCGAAACTCTTGTCAGTTTTCTTCTTTGTTTTTTCTCTAAATAATCACCTCCTATATTTATTATTCTTTTTGCTGTTCTTTTTCCTTAAAAAATGTATTCCTACACAAATTTCCCTACTTTCAAACTATGAGTTTCCTTAAAACTGGCTTCTCTCTATTTGGGTACTTTTTCTTCAGAAGTGGAATATTTCACTCATTAAAAAATTTTCTTCTCCCTTAAAATAATGAAAGTGTTTAATAATATGAATTTAGGACTTCCCTTGTGATCCAGTTGAATAAGAATTCACCTGCTAATGCAGGGGACACAGATCTGATCCCTGGTCCTGGCAGATTCCACATGCTACACGGTAACTAAGCCCGTGGGCCACAACTACTGAGCCTGAGGCGAGAGCCTGCGCTCGGCAACAAGAGAAATCACCTAGTGAGAGAAGCCCAAGCACTGCAACTACAGAAAGCCCAGTCACAGCAGTGAAGACCCAGGGCAGCCAAAGCTAAAAGTTAAATCAATTAATTATTAAATTTTAAAAATAATATGAATATAACTTAGAGTGTAGCTTTAGGTTTTTCAATATGCAGTACTATCATTTTTATTTTATCTGGCAATTAAGCATATATATTTTCTTTCACTAAATAATTTTTTAATTTTAAAATTCTCAATTAAGGAATAGTATTTAAATACTATTATTAATTTCTAATAAAAGTGGACAATGAATTTGGTCCAAATTTCCTTGAAGACTCTTTTGGAATCGGATTTTTTTTTTTTCTTTAGCTGAGTAATTTGGTCAATTTTTTAATGGCTCATTAAGAGAAGGTACAATCTATTTGTAGAACTTAAACATTTTTTTAACCTTAAAAAACATTCCAATATACATTAGGTGCTTTACAGATGTTTTCTCCATTATCGAAACATCTCCTACAAGGAAAAATACTTTTTAATTCCACTTATATGAGGTCCCTAGAGTAGTCAGATTCAGAGATACAGAAAGTAGATTAGTGGATACTAGGGACTGGGGAAAGGGGAATGGGGAGTTAGTGTTTAGTGGAGACAGAGTTTCAGTTTAGGAAGCTGATAAAGTTCTGGGGATGGATGGTGATGAGAATTGCACAACAATGTGAAGCTACTTAATGTCACTGAACTATATACTTAAATATGGTTAAATAGCAAATTTTATATTATGTGTCTTTTACTACTTAAACATTTTTTATTCCAGTAATTCACTTCTTCCTAATTGTAGATGATGAAATGAGGTTCTGAGGTCACAGCACTGATCAGGGACACAGTCAGGATTTAAATGGAGAGCTGATGATTTAGAGCTTCTAGCATCTCCCCTTGTTACTCCCCTCCCTGTGAGAGAGCTGCAGAGACCTGCTCCCCACTTCCTACATTCTCCCAAACTAGGAAACAAGATGTAACAGCTTCACCCAAGTATTTCCAGTCACTTAGCAGTGAATTTGCACATTTCTCATGCCTTCCCAGCCAGCAAGACAACCATCCTGGACCTTACCACCACCGCGGCCACTGCCACAGCTAAGCTCTGGGTCCCAGAGGAGATAAGGAGTTCAGAGGCTTGGCTCCCGAGTAATGAAGCTGTGATCAAGGTGGCACTGGCCAGCGCTGTTCTCAAGATCTTGATTTTGGCGCTGATTATGTACCTCTTGTGGAAGAGAACCAAAGGTAAGTGGTCCGGAATCCCTAACCTCTCCCCAAGATTCCCAGCGGGGTGTTTCTCAGAATCCTCCTGCATCAGAATGACCAGAGGTGCTCAGTAAAAATGCAGAGCCCTGCAGGGCTGAGGTCTGGGCCTGGAAATCTGCATTCTCCCTCCTCGGGCGATATTTGTGTGTCATCAAGTTTGGGAACCACTTTAGAAGACCAGTCCCTCTCCACAAACCTGACCATTTTCCAGCTCTTGTCTCCTGACTCAATCACTTCTCATCAGTCTCACTGCTGGTTCACGAGGAGGGAGGGGCTGCCCTGGGAAACGCAGGAGAGAGAAAGAAGGGACAGGAAGGTGGCTCCACTCAGCAAGCACTGGTTGAACAACCATTTTCCAGGGCCTGGCTTGTAACTGGAAATGCAAAAGTAAATAAAGCACAGGCCCTGCTCTCAAAGAACTGGGGGATGGGAGGGGAGGGGGAGGGGAACAGTTGCCTCAAGGGCTAATGCCTGATGCTGGGAAAGATTGAAGGCAAAAGGAGAAGAGGATAATGGAGGATGAGATGGTTGGATGGCATCACCAACTCAACGGACATGAGTTTGAGCAAACTCCAGGAGATAGTGAAGGACAGGGAAGCCTGGCGTTCTGCAATTCATGTGGTCGCAAAAAGTCGGTCATGACTTAGCCACTGAACAACAACAATGGTAGGTTGAGCAGAAGAAGGGATAATCAAGGAGGATCTCTCAGAGGAAGTAACACCTGCAAAAGCTATCACAGAATGAAAAAGAATTAGCCAGCGGCTGAGAGTCATGTAGAAGTTACTGTTCTTCCAGGGGAAGGAAAGAATTCTGGGAACTCAAAGTAGCTCGGGACTGTGGAGGAGCCACGAGATGAAAGAAGACCTTGGAAATCACACCCCAGAGCAGAGAAGTGGCCACCTCTCAGCTGGGCTGGGATCAGTCTAATGCCGTGTCTGTGTGGATGGAGGGAGAGGCCAGATCCTGGAAAAGTTTAAGAGGGAAAAACAGTAGGACTTGGTGATTGCACTGGTGTGAAGTTGAGGGAGCAGGAATAAGTCCCATGTTTCCAACTTGGGTGAATGAGGCCATGGGGAGACCACCACATAAATCACGGGGTAGAGGAGGTCAAGGACCACAATTGGGAGAGAAGAAAGAGTTTTGAGTTTGGGATGGTTTATGTTTGTGTGGCATCTGAGCAGAGATGCCCATCAGAAATATGAATGCATAAATTATAGTTGAAAGAGATGACAAGGCTAGAGGCATTAGTTATTTATGACAATACTCTCCAAAATTGATTTGAAATACTGTTAAGAAAATGTTCAACAGGAGGCAATTAGTCCTATCAGATTAACTAAAGCACTGGCAGCCAAGTCTTGCTTCATACCAAGGCTTTCAGATTCCAAGTATCTGAAACAATGATACTATTGCCTTAACTTCCTCATCACTAAAACGGGTATAATAATAGTACTTTCCGGGAGGGGGTGGTTATACAACAATAAAAAATAAGGCATTTAAAATACATCCTAGGCGAAGGTGGGATGTTCAAGGCGAGGGTGGGATGTTCAGAGAGAACAGCATTGAAACAAGTATACTATCAAGGGTAAAACAGATCACCAGCCCAGGTTGGATGCATGAGACAAGTGCTCAGGGCTGGTGCACTGGGAAGACCCAGAGCGATGGGATAGGGAGGGAGGCGGAGGGGGGATCAGGATGGGGAACACATGTAAATCCATGGCTGATTCATGTCAATGTATGGCAAAAACCACTACAATAAAAATTTTTTTTTAAAAATCTCTNGACCCCATGAACTGCAGCATGCCAGGCTTCCCTGTCCTTCACTATATCCCAGAGTTTGCTCAAACTCATATCCTTGATTCAATGATGCCATCCAACCATCTCATCCTCTGTCGTCCCCTTCTCCTCCTGCCCTCAATCTTTCCCAGCACCAGGGTCTTTTCTAATGAGTTGGCTCTTCGCATCAGGTGGCCAAAGTATTGGAGCTTCAGCTTCAACATCAGTCCTTCCAGTGAATATTCAGGACTGATATCCTTTAGGAGTGACTGGTTTCATCTCCCTGCTGTCCAAGGGACTCTCAAGAGTCTTCTCCAGCACCACAGTTCGAAAGCATCAGTTCTTTGGTGCTCAGCCTTCTTTATGGTCCAACTCTCACATTCGTACATGACTACTGGAAAAACCTTAGCTTTCACTATATGCACCTTTGTCGGCAAAGTGATGTCTCTGGCATATATACACTGTCTAGGTTTGTCATAGCTTTTCTTCCAAGGAGCAAGCGTCTTTTAATTTCATGGCTGACATTTGGTATTGGACGTCAGGTGATGTCCATGTATGGAGTTCTCTCTTGTGTTATTGGAAGAGGTGTTTGCTATGACCAGTATGTTCTCTTGGCAAAACTCTGTTAATTTTTGCTCTGCTTCATTTTGTACTCCAAGGTCGAACTTGCATGTTACTTCAGGTATCTCTTGACTTCCTATTTTTGCATTCCAATCCCCTATGATGAAAAGGATATCTTTTTTGGAGTTAGTTCTAGAAGGTCTTGTAGGTCTTCATAGAACTGTTCAACATTAGCTTTTTCAGCATTTTTCAGCATTAGTGGTTGGGGCAGAGACTTGGATTACCATAATGTTGAGTGATTTGCTTTGGAAACAAACTAAGATCATTCTGTCATTTTTTAGGTTGCACCCAAGTACTGCATTTCAGAGTCTTTTGTTGACTATGAGGGCTACTCCATTTCTTCTAAGGGATTTTTGTCCCCAGTAGTAGATATAATGGTCATCTGAATTAAATTCATCCATTCCCATCCATTTTAGTTCACTGGTTCCTAACATGTCAATGTTTATTCTTGCCATCTCCTACTTGACCATGTCCAATTTCATGGATTGGTTATGTTAGGTCCACATCCTTGATTCATGGATCTAATTCTAATGTTCCAGGTTCCTATGCAATATTGTTGTTTTTTTTTTTGCAATATTGTTCTTTATAGCATTAGACTTTACTTTCACCACCAGACTCATCCACAACTGAAGGTCATTTCTGCTTTGGTTCAGCCTCTCTATTCTTTCTGGAGCTTTCTCTCTACTCTTCTCCAGCAGTATACTGAACACCTACCAGCCTAGGGGACTCATCTTCTGGTATCATATCTTTTTGCATTTTTATACTGTTCATGGGGTTTTCAAGGCAAGAATACTGGAGTGGTTTGCCATTCCCTTCTCCAGTGGATCACATTTTGTCAGAACTCTCCACCATGACCTATCCATCTTGAGTGGCCCTGCATGGCATGGTTCATAGTTTCATTGACTTACACAAGGTGGTGATCCATGTGATCATTTTGGTTAGATTTCTGTGATTGTATTTTTCATTCTGGAGGCTGTGGGATTGTAGTTCTTGCTTCTTCTGTCTGCCCTCTGATGCATGAGAATAAGAGGCTTGTGCAAGCTTCCAGATGGGAGGAGGGACTGGCTGTGGGGAAAAATGGGTCTTGTTTTGGTGGGCAGTGCTCTGCTCAGTAAATATTTAATCCAATTGTCTGCTGATGGGTGGGGTTGTGTTCCCTCCCCTATTAGTTGTTTGGCCTGAGGTGGCCCAGTCCTGGAGTCTACAGGCTCTATGGAAAGGCTAACAGTGACCTCCAAAAGAACTTATGCTATGCGTGACTCTTAGGACTGCTTTAACCAACTAAGCCACAATGCCAAAAGCTCAGACAATACTACAAAGCTATAGTAGTCAAAACAGACTGGTATTGGCACAAAAACAGACATAGGGATCAATGGACTATATTAGAGAATCCAGAAATAAACCTCTATACCTAGAGACAATTAATTTTTGACAAAGGAGGCAATAATATAAAATGGGGAAAAGATACCCTCTTCAGCACCTGGTGTCAGGAAAGCTGGACAGTCACATGTAAATCAATAAAGTTAGAACATACCTCATACTATACACAAAAATAAATCTCAAACGGATTAAAGACTTAACTATATGACAATATACAATAAAACTAGAAGAGACAAGGGAAAAAATTATCTGATATAAATTTTACCAATGTTTTCTGAGGTGAATCTCCCAAGGCAATAGAAAAAAAGCAAAAATCAACCAATGCGACCTAATCAAACATATAAGCTTTTGCACAGCAAAGGAGACCACCAACAAAACAAAATGACCACATGTGGACTGGGAGAAAATATTTGCAAATAATGTGACTGACAAGGGCTTAATTTCCAAAATATATAAGAACTCATATAATTCAATAACAAAAAACAAACACCCCACTGAAAAATGAACAGAAGACTGAAACAGACATTTCTGCAAAGAAGACACGGGCATATGTAAAGATGCTCATCATCACTAATTTTTAAAATAATGCAAATCAAAACTACAATGAGGTATCACCTCATGGCAGTCAGAATGTGGCCATCATTAAAACATCTACAAATAATAAATGCTGGAGAGGGTATGGAGAAAAGGGAACCATCCTACTCTGTTGGTGAGAATGTGAATTTGTACAGGCACTATGGAGAATGCTATGTAGTTTCCTCAAAAAAGCTAAAATTACAGTTGCCATATGATCCAGCAATCCAACTCCTGAGCATAGACTATACTTCAAAAACATACAACAAACCCCTATATTCATAGCAGCACTATTTACAATAGCTAAGACATGGGAACAATCTAAATGTTGATTGAAAGATGAAGGGATTAAGAAGATGTAGTGNATATAAATGAGGAAAAAATAACCCTAGTGCTAGTAGAAATCAGGTGAAACTTATTTTACAACCATGGGTTGAAGATGACTGGCCTAAGTATGACAAAATATCCAAAGCCATAACAAAAATATTTATAAGTTCAAATACATACAAATTGTTTTATTAATTCTGCAGAGTGAAAACCAGACTGGTTGTCTCCTGAGAGTGAGGATGAGGGTCAGAGATGAAGAGAAAATGTGACATAGTCACTGTGGAAATGCAAAACAGTATTTGAGGATATTTCTCAGATGAGAAACCACAAATGGGTAAAAACATCATTGCACATAGTTATGTCTTCCCACAGCAGTATTCAAGCATGCAGGTTTAGAAGCATTTAGGAATTACTGGTTAGAATCTGTGTACCACTGTTAGCACCAAAATCCAGAAGGAAAGGTTAAGATAAATAACACAGAGTTTACTTTTCCCCCTCATATAAAAGAATGTGGAGCCAGAGAGCAGAAGCTGCCATCCATAAGCACCGAGGCTCCTACCTTTCTGTTCACTGTCCTGCATTTTGGCTTCTCACCCAAAGGCCACTTCATGGTTCATTATGGCTGCTAGAATTCCAGCCATTATTTCTCAATCCAATCAGGATGAAAGAACAAAAAGACTATTCCCCAACTGTCTGTCCTCCTTTTAAAGAGCCTTTGTGAAGTCCTACCCACAACTTCCCCTTATGTCTTATTGGTGAGATTTTTAAATTTTTTTACTTAAATGATGGTTGCTGTCATTTTGGGGGAGGGTGGGGGGAGAAGGTTCTTCACTGTGGTCTGCAGGCTTTCTACTTGTGGCACTGAGGCTTAGCTGCCGCATGCAGCTTGTGGAATTTAGTTACCTACGCCCCCGCCCCAGCCCATCCCCACCACCCAGGGATTGAACCTGTGTCCCTTGCATTGGAAGGCAGATTTTTAACCACTGGACTACTTGGAAAGTCCCTTATGGGTTAGATTTAGTTATACATCCTACATCTGTCTGTTGCGGGGGGCACCCAGCCACTCCAGATAAAATCAAGGTTCTGTAACTGAACAAGAAGTGAGTGGATACGGGGCAACATACAGTATCCCCTGCCCCAGGGCACAGCCACGATTAGAGACATGTCAGCAGGTGTGGCAGAAACACAAGGGGACCCAGGGGGTCAGGGAGCCCGTGAGAGGGCGCAGGTGGAGAGGAGGGGGCTCGGTGGGGGCCTGGGTAACCTGAGAGAGAGCGGATCGTCAGGACAAGGGTGCAGTGAGGTCACGCACAGGTACAGAGGGATGATGACCGAAGAGAGCTGGAAGGAAAGATAGCTGAGCATAAAAACCCTAGTGTGTGCGATGTCAAAAGTTCTCAGTCCCAGTGATTCAAAAAAAGAGGAAAGAAAATGACCCAGGGTGTGGCTGAGTGGACCTGCGGTAGCCTGAGTTGGGGGAGGTCAAGACCACCATGCTCAGAGAATGACAGGGCTCTGGGTGCGGGAGGAGCTGCTCTCCTGACTGGTGTGGGGGACGAGGCAGCACAGGTGCGGGCAGCCTCGGGGTGCCACCGGACAGGGGGCGGTGTGTCAGCTCTGGTCCCAGGCCCTTCCCCGGGAGGTTTCAGCTGCTCCGGTCTATGCAAGGATGGACTCAGAGTAGGACCAGGCAGAGAGGCAGGGAGGAGACAGGCCTCCGTGGATGGCACAGTGACACGCTGTTGGTCCCCCTACAGGTGCGCAGACTGAAGCCAGGACCCCAGCCAGGTGAGCACTTGTCCTCCAGTATGGGGGGTTCAGTGGGACAGGGCTATTTTATGAGCAAGAAGTTTCATCCTGAGAGCAGCACCAGGGAGCCTTTCACGGGCCCCTCCTCGACCTCCATCCACATCCTCCCAAGTCCCCACAGGCCAGGCTCTTCACTTTCTGAGGCTCCCGATCCTTAGAAAGTCAGAGCAGTGGACCAGCACTTTCTCTGACTCTCTCCCAGAGCATCTCCCTAGGTCTGTCTCTGGCACCCGCCTTTCTTCCTTCCATCCCCAGGTCTCAGCCTTTCCCTCTGTTCATCCTGGTCTTTCTCCCCCTTGAACACCATCCTTCCAGAACACACCCACTCCCTCCACGCTCTGTCCCCTTTCTTGCTCCTCGTCCAGTCTGTCCTCTGCCCTGTGACACGGGGCCTCCGGCTGCCCCGGCCTGTCTCTCCTCAGAGTGGCTCCCTCGCGGCCCCCAGCCTGGCTCCCTCTCCTCTGGCCCCGGCTCCTCTTCCTTTCCTGACACTCACCCTCCTCACCGCCCACCGCGTTCCCTTCTCATCCTCTCTGCCACGTCCAGGCTTTTCCTTCTCACAGCCCCTCCCTCCTTTCTCGCCTTCCTGACTCTTGACAGTGTCCTCCCGGGACCCCTCCCCGGATGGTGTCTCCTCGGGGACCAAGGCCTGAGCACCGCCTGGGGGACCTGAGAGAAGCTCCCTGGTTCTCGCGCTCCAGTTTGGACCCAGGCGCTGCCGCAGAAAGGACAGGCGCCCCCTCCTGCTTCTCCTCCTTGCGCCCCTCAGTAAAGCCGCTTCTCTGCAAGAGTCCACCCCAGTCAGCTCTCAGGGACGGGGCTACACTGCAAACGGCTCCTCAACCCCATCCAGGCAGCCTCGTCCTGAGAGCCCCAAACCTCTGCCTTCATGTCCGAGTGTGACCAGGCAGGTCACAGAGCCCCCACCGAGAGAAGTGGCCCGAGGCAGGTGGTAGCTCTTTCCTGCCCAGATTCTGACACATCACTGCTCTCCTGTTCCCACACAGGGAGTCCTCCCAAAACGCAGAAGAGAATTACCAGAACACCGAGAATAAAGGTGAGTCCTGCCACCATCATCCCCGCTCTCACCTGGGTCTTCCTTCTCCCCACACCCCCTCCCCACACAGGTGCCCTCAGCATCCTCCTCTCTCTCCCTTGCCTCACCCGCCCTCCCCTGAGACCCTGGTCCTGACCTAGAGATGACCTCACTGCTGGAGCCCCTGCCCATTTCTCTACCCTGGCTGCCTGGTCACCTGACTCTAGGACAATTGGTTTTTTTCCTAGAACAACATATAGAACTGGAGCAGGACCAGAAAATAAGCAGCTCAGGCTAGGACCTGCAAGGATGAGAGGGAAGTTTGGAGAAGGTGGGGTGGGTGGACAGAGGGCCTGTGGTGTCAGTGGGGCATCAGCTGTGGGATCGTGGCCCTGAGATGGAACCCCTCCCCTCTGCTGTCTCACCCCCTCCCGCTTCCTTCTCCCCCAGGATGACGCTGGAGCCCCCAGTGCCTCCCTCACTGTCTCCAGCTTGACCTCACCAGCTCAGCAGCACCTCCCCTCCCCACTTCCCATGGTGGCCCCCAGGAAGAGACCCTATACTCTGTCTTAAAGGCCTAAGCAGTGGGACGGAGTGGGGACCTCCTTCGAGTCAGCGGTGCACAGGGATCTCAGCTCCTCATAATCTCCCCGGCCAGACGCAGACAGCTCAGAGGCCGGCAGGTGCGGGGCCACCAAGGACCTGAGAGTCACAGCCCCCCACCCCGATTCCCTCTTCACCCTGCCAGCCTTTCACCACAAAAATAAAAGGACCTGTGCAATCTGCCTGAATGCATCTGCGGAGAAAGCTGACGTTACCTTCAACTTCTGTCCTTCCGGAAGTTGATAAAATGAACCATGATAGATAGCTCACACCCAGATCCCTTCCCTGGTACTTCTGTTCAGTGACTGCCTCAGGCCAGAGACAAATAAATCCCCAAACACTGGTAATCAGTCTGGAACCCAAGGTCCGTCCCCCTAATCTAACCCTTCTACTTTCCTTAGGATAATAACTAGCATGTGTCGTGTTTGTGCTTTACGTGCGTGGCCTCATTTCAGCATCATCAGCCACTCTCTATGGCACTGGATGTACCATCTGAGAGAGGATAAGAACCAGAATGGTCACAGTGATTTTCCCAAGGCCATGTTGCTAGTAAGTGGCTGAGGCAGGATGTGAACTCAGACCTGCCCTCTCGATCTCTTTCTCCCAGGACACAGGCGGCGTCGCCTTCCCAGATCTCTATACTGACAGGTCTCCCACTAGAAGGCACCATGTGCCCCAGCGACATGGAGAAGGAGAGAAAAAAGCCAAAATTTAGAGATGAACCAAACCACATTAACTAGTAACCTGGTTTATTAATATATAAGCTGCACAACTCTAACTTTAGCCAAGTAACCTCACAGCCAATGAACAGTCCCATCAATAGACTATTTAATCCAACAAATTGGAATACACATTTTTTCCCATGGTCACATAGAACATTCACCAAGATAGACCACATTTTGGGTCACAAAATACATCCAAACAAATTTAAAAGGAAAGATGGTAACAATAACCCTATATGCAAAACAGAAAAAGAGACTCAGATGTATAGAACAGACTTGTGGACTCTGGGAGAAGGAGAGGGTGGGATGTTTCAAGAGAACAGCATTGAAACATGTATATTATCTAGGGTGAAACAGATCACCAGCCCAGGTTGGGTGCATGAGACAAGTGCTCGGGCCTGGTGCACTGGGAAGACCCAGAGGGATCGGGTGGAGAGGGAGGTGGGAGGGGGGACCGGGATGGGGAATACATGTAAATCCATGGCTAATTCATTTCAATGTATGACAAAAACTACTGTAATGATGTAAACTAATTAGCCTCCAACTAATAAAAATAAATGGAAAAAAAAAAAAATGGAGAAATCATGCAGTGTCTGCTCTCAGACTGCAATGGAATTAAACTAGAAGTTTCAGTAATGGAGATAACTGAACAATCCAAAATACATATAGATTAAACAGTATACTTCTAAATTCATATAGATCAAAGAAGAAATCTCAAGGTAAATTTTAAAATATTTTTAATTAAATAAAAGTGAAAGGACAACTTGTCAAAATTATCAGATGGAGCAAAAGTAGTGTAGTGCTTAGAAGGAAATTCATGGCACTGAATATGTTTATTAGAAAAGAAGAAAGATATAAAATCCATAATCTAAGATTCACTAGGAATCAGGAAATTTGACTGAACTGAATTTCTTAAGATTCAATCTTAGGAAACTAGAAAAAGCAGAGTAATTTAATTCAAAGTAAACAGAAGAAAAGAATGATAAGTATTAGAGCAGAAATGAATGAAATAAAAAATCAATAGGGAAAATAAACAAAACCAAAAGATCAATAAAGTTGACAAGACTCTAGGCAGACTACTAAGAAAAAAGGAAATTACTAAAAATTACTAATACTAGAAGTAAAAGAGGGGCTATCACTACAGATCACATAGACATCAAAAGGATAATAAAGGAAACTCCATCTCCACAAATTTGTTAACCTAGATGAAATGGACCAATTCCTTGAAATACACAATCTGCCAAAACTCCAATAAGAAAAAAGTAGACAATCTGAATAGGCCGATATCTATTAAAGAAATTGACTTGACAATTAGTTACCTTCTAAAACAGAAAACACCAAGCTCAGATGGGTTCACTGGTAAATTCTTACCAAACATTTAAGTAAGGAGTTATGTCAATTTTCTACAATCTTTTTCAGAGGATAGAAGCAGAGAAAATATTCCCTAACTTGTTCTACGAGACCAGCATTTCCTAAATACCAAAATAGACAAAGATGTTACAAGAAAACTACAGGCCTCATGAAGACATGCATCTGACCAAATCCCACACCCTTTCATGATTAAAAAAAAAAGAGCGTCTAAGTAAACTAGAAACAGAATGGAACTTTCTCAATGTGATAAAGAATACCTACCAAAAAACCAATACCTAACATTACACTTGGGCTTCCCTGATGGCTCAGTGGTAAAGAATTCACAGGAGATGTAAGTTTGATCCCTGGGTCAGGAAAATCTCCTGGAGAAGGAAATGACAACCCACTCCAGTATTCTTGCCTGGGACATCCCATGGACAGAGAAATCTGGTGGACTGCAGTCCATGCAATCACAAAAGAGTTGGACATGACTCAGCAACCAAACAACAACAACAACAACAACAACAACAACAACATCATACTTAACGGACAGAAATCTGAATCTCTCCCACCAAGATCAGGTCCAAGGCGAGGATGTCCTCTCTCACCACTCTGTTTCCACACCGTGAAATAGAGGTCCTTGATAATGCAATACTGTAAGAGAAGGAAATAAAAGTTTTCAGATTGGGAAGGATGACATAAAACTGTCTTTGCCTGCAGATGACATGATTATCTATGTAGAAAATCTGAAAGACTTGACAAAACGAACAAAAATATCCTAGAACTAATAAAGGACTGTAGCAAGCTTACAAGTTATACATTTAACCTAAAAGTCAATTGCTTTCTTATATACTAACAATGAAAAAGCAGAATTTTAGAAAAAAACAAAACAAACATTATCACTGACACTAGCAACCCCCAAAATGAAATACTTAGGTATAAATCTAACAGCATATATATATAAGAAAGAGCCTTATGAGAAAAATTACAAAACTCAAAGAAACAAATAAGTGGAGAAATATTTCATGTTCATGGACAGGAAGAATCAATGTTGCCAATATGTCAGTTCTTCCCAACTTGTTCTACAGATTCAATGCAACCAATCAAAATCAAAGAAAGTTATTTTACAGACATTGACAAACTTATTCTAAAGTTTCTGTGACACAAAGAACAGACTTGTGGACACAGTGAGGGAAAAAGAGGGTGGGACAGATTGAGAGAGTAGCATTGAAACATACACATTACCATCTGTAAATCAGATAAGTAGTGGGAAGTTGCGCTATAAAACAGGGATCTCAGTCCAGTGCTCTGTGACAACCTAGAGCGATGGGATGGGGTAGGGGGTAGGAGGGAGGTTCCAGAGGGAGGGGACATATGTACACTTAAGGCTGATTCATGTTTTACGGTAGAAACCAACATACACTGTGAAGCAATTATCCTCCAATTAAAAATTTAAAAAAGAAAAATAAAGCTTATATGGAGAGGCAAAAGACCCAGAATAACTAACAATACTGAAGGAGAACAAAGCTGGAGGACTGACCCTACCCATCTTCAAGATATATACTAACGAAGATGGTGTGGGAGAGAACTGACAAATAGATCAGTGGAACAGAATGGAGAACCCAGAAATAGATCCCCATAAATATAGTCTGATCTTTGACAAAGGAGCAAACACAATGGAACAAAGACAGTTTCTTCAACAAATAGTACTGGAACAACTGGACAGTCTCAGGAAAGAAAAAAAAAAAAAGACTCTAGACACAGATCTTACACTTTCCACAAGAATTAACTCAGAATGGATTATACCTAAATATAAAATTCCTGGAAGACAACTAGGAAAAAATCTTACTCTTTTGGGTATGAAAAGTGAAAGAGTTAGTCACTTAGTCATCTCTGACTCTTTGCAACCCCATGGACTGTAGCCCACCAAGCTCCTCTGTCCTTGGAATTCTCCAGGCAGAAATACTGGGGTAGGTAGCCAGGCCCTTCTCCAGGGGATCTTCCTGACCCAGGGGTCAAACCCAGGTCTCTCTTTACTGTCTGAGCAACCAGGGAAGCCCATTTCAAGTATGGTGAATCCTTTTTAAACACTATCAAAGACATGATCCATGAAGAAATAATTGATAAGCCGGAGTTCATTAAAATTAAGAACTTCTGAGTGGTTCAGTGATAAAGAATCTGCCTGCCAATGCAGGAGACACAGGTTCGATCCCTGGTCTGGGAAGATCCTGCAGGCCTCAGAGCAACGGAGCCCGTGCCCAAGTGCTGAGCCTGTGCTCTGGAGCCCAGGAGTTGAAACTACTGAGCTCAACTACTACTGCTGTGGCTGCTGCTGCCACAACTACTGAAACCCACACACTCTAGAGCTCATGCTCTGCACAAGAGCAGCCACCTCAATGAGAGGCCCATGCCCTGCAAGTGGGGAGTAGCCCCTGCTTGCTGCAACTAGAGAAAATGGCTGCACAGCAATGAAAACTCAGCACAATAAAAAATAAATCAAAATTATTTTTTAAAAATTAAAAACTTCTGCTCTGCACAACATAATGACAAGGAAATTATTAACAGAAAATAAGTCACAGACTGGGGTAAATATTTGCAAAAGACACATCCTGATACAGCAACTTTTATCCAAAGTATATGAAGAACTCATAATTCAACAATAAGGAAACAATCCAGATTTTCCTGGTGGCCCAGTGGTTAAGATTCCGTGCTTCCACTGCAGAGGGTGTAGATTCAATCTCTGGTCAGGGAACTAACATCCCACATGCCACGCAAAAGCAATCCAGTTTTTAAAATGGGCCAAATACCTAAATAGACACCTCACCAAAGAAGATATATAGATGGCAAATAAGTATATGAAATGATGTTCCACGTCATATCTTACCAGGGAAATGCAAATTCAAACAACATTTGACATCACCACACATTTATTAGAATGGTCAAAATTCCAAACACTGACAGTACCAAATGCTGGCAAGGATGTGAAGCAACAGGAACTTTTTCTCACATTGCTGGTGGGAATAAAAATATACAGCCACTTGGGAAGACAGTTTGGTGGGTCTTACAAATCTAAATATACTCTTATCATAAGATCCAATTATTGCACTCCTTGGTATTTATTCAAAGGAGTCGAAAACTTAAGACAACACAAAACCTGCACACTGATATTAATAATAGCTTTATTCATAACTGCCAAAACTTGGGAAGTAAACAAGAAGTCTTTCAGAAAGTAAATGGGTAAATAAGCTGTAGTACATCCACAGCTTAAAAAAGTTATCAAGCCATGAAAAAAACATGAGAGAACCTTAAAGGTACATTTCGAAGTGAAGGAAGCCAATTGGAGGCAGCTGTATACTCTTGATTCCAACTTTATGACATTCTGGAAAGGGCAAAAACTATGGAGATAATAAAAAGATCACAGGCTGCTGGGGGCAGGGGTGGTGGTGGGCAGAGATGAAGAGACAGAGCACAGAGGATTTTTAGGGCAGTTCAAATACTCTATATGGTGTTATAATGATGGATGTGTATCCTTATACATTTGTCCAAATCCACAGAATGCACACCACCAAGGTTGAACCTTAGGGTAAACCATAGTCTTTGAATGATTATGATGGTCAATATGGGTTTGGTAAAAAAAATGTACCATCCTGGTGAGCAACATTGTTAAAGGGCAAGGCTATGCCTGTGGGTGCAGAGGGTATATGGGAAATCACTGTACCTCTCTCTCAACATTATTGTCAACTGAAAACTATTCTTTTAAAACATCTTTTAAAAAACTATCATAGAAATGTTATTAAAGAGTAATATTTGATGATATAAAGATTTCTTTAAAAAGATCAGTAAAGGAGGACTTCCCTGGT